TCTACGTCCTTTGCATATCCATATAAATTTTACAGTCATCTTGTTAAATCTCTACCCCAGAAAAAGGCTGTCTGGATTCTTACAGCAATTGCGTGGTGTCTAGAGACCAATTTGTGGTGGGTCACTAAAACAACACTGAGATTTCCAATTCATGAGCATGGTGTATCTACAGACTTTTTCAGAACTTCTTTAATTTCTGTCCAGTAATGTTTTGTAGTTTTTACAGTTCAGGTCTTGCACATAATTTAAAACAAGTAATTCCATCAGTGTTTAATATTCTCATGCTATTATAAATGATGTTTGTCCTTGTATATATTTAATTTCAATTTCCAACTGCTAGTATGCAGAAATACAATTGAGTTTTACTGACCCTGTATTCTCCAACTTTGCTGAACTCATTTGTTAGTTCTAGGAGCTTTTTAATAGATTCCTTAAGATTGTCAACATAGACAATGGTGTTATCTATAAATACTTAAGTCATTTCTAATCTACCTGCCTTTTATTTCCTTTTAGTGCCTTGCTGTACTGGAAAGGACCTCCAGTACAATGCTGACTGAAGTGATGACGTATTACTCTGCTTCTGATCTTAAAATAGAAATTATTCAGTCTTTCATCATTAAATATGATGCCAGCTCTAAGGGGTTTTGTTTGTTTTAATAGATGCCCTTTGTTGGGCTGAGGAAGTTCCCTTCTGTTCCTAACTTACTGTGAGTTTTTATTATGAATGGATCTCAAATTCTGTCAGATGTCTTTTTTTTTTTTATTTGACAGAGACAGACACAGCGAGAGAGGGAACACAAACAGGGTGAGTAGGAGAAGGAGAAGCAGGCTTCCTGCTGAGCGGGGAGCCTGATGCGGGGCTCGATCCCAGGACCCTGGGATCATGACCTGAGCGGAAGGCAGATGCTTAACAACTGAGCCACCCAGGCGCCCCTGTGAGATGTCTTTTCTGCATCTATTGAAACCACCACAAAATTTTCAATTTTTCAATTTTTAGTCTTAAATTAACATTTCGTTGGTTTTTTTATATGTTAAACCACTCCTGTATTCTTGGGATGATCCTACTTGGTTATACTGTATTCTCCTTTTTATATATTGCTGAATTCAATTTATTAGTATATTTTAAGGATTTCAGCATGGGAAAACTAATAGGGAATTGGTATTTTTATGTATTGTATAATCCCCCCCACCCCCCGCCGGTTCTGGTGTCAGGGTAATGCTGGCCTTATAGAATGAGCTGGCAAGTATTTATAGTTTTTGCAAGTTTTTATGTAGAATTGCTATTAATCTTATCAGCTGTATTTTTCATTTCAGATAGTATATCTTTCACCTCTAGAAGTTTGATTTGGGCCTCTTTTATATCATTCATTTCTCTCATCATATTCAAGTCCTCCTCCAGGGGCGCCTGGGTGGCCCAGTTGTTAGGCGTCTGCCTTCGGCTCAGGTCATGATCCCAAGGTCCTGGGATCGAGCCCCGCATCGGGCTCCCTGCTGCGCAGGAAGCCTGCTTCTCCCTCTCTCACTCCCCCTGCTTGTGTTCCTGCTCTCGCTATCTCTGTCAAATAAATAAATAAAATCTTAAAAAAAAAAAGTCCTCCTCCAGCCCAGTAAAATATGCAAAGTATGTTTTTAGTAGTTACTGTAATGTCTTTGTCAGCTAGTTACCTATCATCTGTTTCATAGCTAGGTCTCTTCCCACTGACTGGGTTTTCTCTTAGTGAAGGATGTCTTTTCTTGCTTCTTTGTATGCCTGGTCATTTTTTATTGGACACCAAACATTGTGATTTTTTATATTTTTGTGTGCTGGAATTTGTTGTATTCCTTTTAATATTGTTTGATTTTATTCTAACAATGGACGCTATTAACTGGATTCAATTTGATCTTTTTGAGGGCTGCTTTTAAGCAGTGTTAGGGTAGATCCACAGCAGCCCTCAGTCTAGAACTAATTTGATGCCACTATTGAGACAATACTCTTCTGAGAACTCCACTGCTTATCTTGTGCATTACAAGGTCCTTCTAATCAACTTGATAAAAATCTGAGGTCCTATGTGAGCTCCTATGTGAGCTACTCTAGGTCCTATGTGAGCTCCAAGAACTGTTTTGTCTGGTGGTTCTTTGCCCTGCCTTGGGTAGCTTCCTCACATGCATGCACAGATCAATACTCAAGGGGGACACCCCTGCATGTCTCTGGAGCACTCTGAAAGGCTGCCTCCTCTGTTGTATTTTGCCCACAAATTCTAGTTTCCTGGGCCTCCATGAACTCCAACTCTGTATCTGGGTTCACCCATCCTTTGCTACAACCTACAAACTCTTTTCAGGTAGCAAGCTGGGCAATCGCAGAGATTACTTCATTTATTTTCCTTCTCTCAGGGATCACGAACCCATGCCACCTGTCATCTAATGGCTGAAAACCACTGTTCCATTCAGTTTGCTAATGGTGTAAGGTGGGAGGAAATATATGGCCTCTATCATTTTATCATGGCCAGAAGTGGCACTCTTAACCCTCTTCTAAAATCTCAAAACCCTATCATCCTTTAAGACCTGTACCAAGTCTAATTTGCTTTTTTTTGAGAAGATTTTATTTATTTATATGACAGAGACAGCGAGAGACAGAGAGCACAAGCAGGGGGAGCTGCAGGCAGAGGGAGAAGCAGGCTCCCCATTGAGCAGGGAGCCCGATGTGGGGCTCGATCATGACCTAAGCTGAATGCAGATGCTTAACCGACTGAGCCACCCAGGGGCCCCTAGTCTAATTTGCTCCTTGTGAACTGTTTACAATAATCTAGTTTCATTTTCTTATTCCTCCTCTTAATTCACAGTCTTAATCGTCTACAACTATTCACCATTTATTTAGTAACTGATAATGCATTAGATTGAGCTAAATGAAATTGCAGTTTTTATAGGTCAATAACCATCTAGTATCAGCAATTACATGTGTTTTACTCAAGTTTGTCATTAACAAGGGTGTAAGTATGCAGAAATAGCATTACTTGTTTCTTGAAAATTTCAAATTATTCCATCATATGATGTGCACCAGATACACATACAAGTATTCTGAGACTAGCTGATTAAAGCTTTTTTTTTTCTCAGCAGATTGCTTAAAATAAGAATATTGTACAGACCTATAAATATGCTTTTTTTTAATTATGTTATGTTAATCACCATACATTACATCATTAGTTTTTGACGTAGTGTTCCATGATTCATTGTTTGCATATAACACCCAGTGCTCCATGCAGAACACGCCCTCTTCAATACCCATCACCAGGCTAACCCATCCTCCTAGCCCCCTCCCCTCTAGAACCCTGTTTGTTTTAGAAATAGGCTTCTTGATAATGATGGTGTTAATTCCATAGTTTAATGAAAAATATTAAGTTAAGAAATTTTTTTTACTATTTTTATTATTTTTTTAGAGAGAGAGAGCATGCACAAGTGGGGGAAAGGCAGAGGGAGAGAGAATCTTAAGCAGGCTCCATGTTCAGCACGGAGCCCCATTGGCAGGGCTCGGTCTTGCAACCCGGAGATCATGACCTGAGCTGAAATCAAGAGTCGAATGCTTAACTGACTGAGCCACCCAGGTGCTCCTCTTTTACTATTTTTAAGTCACAGATCAAGCACTATTCAATTTTAACTGTTCACTTGCATGTACATAAAAATATGCCACGTGTATATGTTAATATATTCACATATACATATCTGAATATATGTATATGAAGCAATGTCATGTCATCTTTAAGAAAATTGTTTTATGATGCCATAGGCCATTTATTTCACTGCAGACATTCAGAAGTTTAGTATTCTAGGTATAAGTCAAATGCATTTGTGCTGTGATCTAATAAAAATGTTATGGGAAAATAAAAGAGAAAAAAGAGTATTTTGTTGATTTGACAAAATTTCAGATAGTGAAAAATCCAGTATATAAGCCTCTTTTGGGTTATCATTTACTAGATAAAAGTCCTTAGTGGGGAGTTTAAGATCCTCATGTGGGCGAAAGACTCGGCCAATAACACGATGATATGAAAAGAATGAGATTCAGAAGCAAGGGGCTGGTAAGTGGTAACAATTTTTTAAGAACTGAGTAACAGATTTCACAAAAGACTTAAAAATAAAATAACAAAATAAGGAGATCTAGACCTCCAGGCCCCAACTAGGCATTCAACAAACACTCACTGACTGCCTACTATGCGCGGGCATCACAGTCAACACAGTCAACTGGACAACCGCCCACGTTACATTCTTGTGGGATAGAGACATAATAAGCAATGAAACAAGCAAATATGTAACACACATCCATGTGATGAGACAAATGCTCTAAGTCAAAAGAGAGAGAGAGAGAAAGAAGCAGGGTAAAAGGGTAGAATGACGTAGTGAGGGGGGACAGAAAGGAATCGGCAATGGTCTCTCTGAGGAAGTGACATCTGAGCAGAGACCTGAACGAAACAGAGGAGTGATGCAAGCGTAAATCTGAGGGAAGGAAGACCTCACACGGAGAGGGCAGCAACTGCAGAGGGCCAGAGGCAAGAGACTTCTGGGCTAGAGGCAAGAGACTTCTGAGCCAGACTGAGAACAACTTGGTGAGGAATGGGGGAGGAGATGTATGCAAAGGCTAGGTTCAAAGGGCCTGCTGAATTTCAGTGAATGAGGCTTTTGGGTTTTGTTCTAAGTATGACGGGAAGCCTAGAGGACTCTGAGCAGGGTAAAGACATGATGTATATTTTAAGAGTCTCCAACTGAACCTTTGTGCTAATCCAGCTGTAGATACTTCTCCAACTGTATATGGGCACGGTAGTACTAGCACGCAGAGAAAGTAGAGTCTCCATTCGAGGGTCACTTAGAAGAAATGAGTGGGGAGAAATGAAAACAAAAGATTTGCTCCCCTCTGCTTCCTGAGCCCCCCATACAGACGTAACATACTCTTTCGTAGGCAGCATCAGCATATGCTACCAAACACTGAACTCTGGAAGTTAAAGTGCTTTAAGGCGGCAAACAGACAGACTAACCTTCTGTATCTGTGGCACTGTTGATAACATTAGACAGTTTGGTCTTCAAGCTCGTGTAAGTCACGGAGTTCCTCACATCACTCTCGTAACGCCCAGTGCCCAGGGATACTATGCACTCTAACGGGACGTCGGGCCAAAGACATTTACACTCATGCATTGCTAGCGCCGAAGGGTTATTCAGAAGCAAACCTCCATCCTGCAAAATACAGTGCAGAACTCTTAAAAGTGAAATTCTATTTTACAAATATGAAGACAAAAATTGTATTTTAAACAGGCTGAAATGTACTTACAAGGAGAGCTTAAGGATTGAACAAAAAATTGAACAAATTACTTGAAGACAAGAAATTCCTTTAAAGTGAATTTATTTTATATACTACAGCTTCAGAAAAGGGTAATGTGAAAGCTCACTGGCCTCATTAAGGTTTCTGTTCCTATTATGAAATAACTTTCATAACTCTAACTTCTTTGATTGCTTTGCATATTTTTCTCAAACTACTAAAATGAACAAAGTTATTTTTAAAAGTATCTTTGGCTAGTGGTTACTAGAGATATGATATAAAACCTAACAGAACTGTGGTTCTACCAAACAATTAAAACTAGCTCTTCATTCACAAGTCAAATATAACCAAATTAATTCAACTAATTTAACTGAAACTTTATCAACCATACAATTTTTTAAGTATTACATTCATTATAATGCAGATATGATCTAAACGAAGTAGGCAAACTTTGTATTTCTAAGCATTATTATAAATAATAACTATTTTGAAGACTTCAGGAGGAAAGAAGGGTAAAACATGCAGACAGAATACTGTTAAACTGTAGCAGAATAAAAGTATATAACTAGCCTTGCACTGCTGGGATAAACCTCACTTGCTATTAGTGTAACCATTCAATTTTGAAAAGCGACAAGTGTTAGAAAGTTACTCCTTCTAAAAAGCCCAAAAGCCCATTATCATATGCATATGGCATTCATCCGCAGTGTGCAGCTTTATGATGCCTCTGGGGTAACAGAGATACACAGGGCTATGTGGATTCCCAGAGAAACGGTTTCATCACGTGTTTTCACTGCTTGCTCTAGTCTCCATTTTCCAGTAGGTTGTTTGCTGCCATTTCCAATCTAATCTCTACCTTTCCATGATGTGCGACCTCCATCACTAACTACATCTTTTCAAAAGAATGTGGTTCATGTTTCAATGTTCACTTTCATGAGAAAAGGCTATTTATTCTTTCAAAAGACATTTCTTGTCAATGGGGGCCCATTTATTCATGGGTCCACCGTATTTCAGGTCCTTCACTCTTTTCTTAAAGTTCCTTTGCGGCTGAGATAAGCTTAAGTCGGGATGGTCTCTGAGACCTAGAAGACTACAGACAGCTGGCCTGTGACTAGCCCCAGGCCCGGGACACAAGAAAGGGGGCCCTGGTTTCATGTCATCTGTCACCTGACCGGTAGTAAGCGTCCTGAGGAGAGTGGAGCTTCTCTCTTCTGTCCCTTGTCTAGACTCAGGAAGAGGGAAACTTGTAGCTGGAGCAGAATGACGACACAGTAGCACAACGTGCTAGCATTAAACTTCTCTTTATTACAGGTTCACCATACTTAATTTTCCGTGTACATCTTAGTAAAACAGCTAAATGCCATCGTAATATAGTTATATCATTCCTAAACTCAAAGCAGCATGGCAGAGAATGCACACAAAAGATCAGAATCCTAAACTAAAAACACATCACAGTGCAAGTTAACACTGTGAGAAGTAAAGCTTCTCTGACACCAAGCACACAGTTTCAGTTCATTCATTAAAAGCTTAAATGTCCATCTACTCTATGCCAGGCCAAAGAGCATGTAGTGACTACAGTTTAGGGACTGCTATCCTTGTGTGTGCTGAGCTTGAAGCAGATGAACTGAGACTGCATCTGCTGGAAAGATCACTATGGAGGCTGGAATGTTTTTAGTGTTTTTAGAGGTACTAGGCCCACTTTCTTCAGAGAACCAATAGAGGTTAAATTCACATGTCATTCTAAACTCCACCATGCTTCTGTTCCATTCAATAATGCCATTCAAATCTCTGAGCTTCCTTGCCACCGACACAGTCGTCCACTCCTCCCTGACATCTTAAACCCTTCCACTGGGCTGTATGGATCTTGTTCCACAGCTACAACTTCCAAGGTAACGTCACCTTCTTCTGAATGCTCTCTTTAACAGAGACGTTGCTCTTCCCTAATGTTGTCTCCCAAGTAGCTGTTGATTCTTTCCTATCTCATATACCTTAGTGGTTAGGAGGGAATGGTGTCCTATTTGTTCTTTAGTGTTCCTTCTAGACCATTACTAGTTCCAATCCACTTAGAAAATCCAACTACTGGCCCATGCTACCATCACTGCTGTCATCTATCAACTTCTCATTCAACAAACTGTCCAGCACCTGGCCCACAGGCTTCCTTACTATCCCACGCAGAAAAGGGTAGAGATTCATCATACCACATGTGACTTTTCATCTTTAGAACACCCTAGACTCTCAGTTCCTCAATCCTCTTATCCTCAAAAACCACTCTTCTATCTGTTCCCCAAGGTCACACATTAGCTCTTGTTACCAAGATAGATGTAGTCTTTTGAGTTTGGTTTCTTTCACCTAGAATAATGCTTCTGAGATCCATCCATGTCACTGGACAGCCCAGTAATTCATTGCTTTTTAGGGCTGAGTAATATTTAATTACTTGGATGTATCAGTTGAAAGGAACTATTTTTAAATTTAGTTATTTTTTTATTTTTAGTTATTTTTTAGTTTTAAATTTAGTTATCTTTATATATCTGTTGAAAGGCTTACATTGTCTATTTGTACTGTTTGTTTTTATTTTTAGTTATTTTTTATTTTTACCTTTAGTTATCTTAATATATCTGTTAAAGTCTTAACATTGTCTATTTGTACTGTTTAACTTTGTAGAACCCTACTAGGATTCCTTAAATGTAGGTAGTAATAATTATCCCCTAAAGGCTTCTAATTTAAATTTAATTTTAATTTAGTCATTTCACTTTATCTTTTGTTTTCAATTAATAGGACACTGGAACGATATCCATCATATAATAGAGGTAACATTTCATTTCTAATTCAGCAAGAATTTAAAAAAAAAATTTAAGATTTTACTTTTAAATAATCTCTACACCCAATGTAGGGTTCGAACCCACAACCTTGAGATCAAGAGTCCTATATTCCCCCAACTGAGCCAGCCAGGGGCCCAAAACTACTTTTACCTTAAATTCTATAGTTATACTCTACATAACTTTTAACCGTCTTGGTATTTTTGATGGAACACTCCTGCACTATTTTATATAAAAGCCTACCAAGAAGGATCAGAAGAGACAAAAAGGGAAGAAAAGATAAGAAGGGGCAAATGAGGTTTAGCAAGAATTGATAATAGTAAAATCACTCCCAAATTAAAAAGTTGTCAGGTTTCCAATGGTTTTAATAGACATGTCAATAAATTCCTGTTCCTTAAACTTTACTGCTTTCCATCACGTAAGTGTGGAAGTTAAGATTTTTAAGGTGCTCACTCCAGTCTATGCAGAGGCACGCCGGCCCTTAACTCCCTTCTTAGTCCACTCCTGTCCATGCCTCTTCTATCAGGAAGTCATCAGGCTAATGGTGCGACCATGGTATTTCCTTCACTTAGGTATTCATATTCATAGTTATCTATTTATTGTGTTATTTGGTTTTGCCAGGCCCACTGCTAGATACTGCAGTAAAACAGACTTAAAAAATGAACTGACTGAAAAATTTGCTATTTATCTCTCAGAGGTATACAGAGAATTGTGTTTTAATAGCAATACATCATACATGTACTTAGTAGCCTAAAATTTAGATACTTTTGATTGCTTTTAATGTACATTTAATCATTTCAAATCATACAGAGTACCTACCAGAAAATAACCATTGCACAATAGGAACTTCTCCTAGTCATCTCACTCAGTTATTATTTTTTTAGAGTTTTAAAAAAAATTCTGTTTATTATGGTAAAATGTACAAAACATAAAATTGGTCCTTTTAAGCGTTTTTAAGGTTACAATTCAGTGGCATTAATTACATTCAAAATGTTTTACAACCATCACCACTATCTATTTCCAAAACGTTTTTATCACCCCAAAGAAAAACTCTAAAACCATTAACAATTCTTCCCCATTTTCCCCTCCCAATCCCATTTCTGTCCTACCCAACTATTCATTCTTTAGATCTCAACTGGAGTGGAAATGTCTTTGTAAAGCCAATCGTGACAGAATAAGCCACATCTTCTGTATTTCTTAATGCTATGCATATTTTCATTATTGAATTTGTTTTTTTTCAAGACTTTATTTAAATTCAAGTTAGTTCACATATAGTATAGTGTTGGTTTCAGGGGTACAATTTAGTGATTCATCAGTTGCATATAACACCCAGTGCTCATCACAACAAGTGCCCTCCTTAATACCCATCACCCAGTTAGCCCATTCCCCGCCCACCTCCCCTTCATCAGCCCTCAGTTTGTTCTATAGTTAAGAATCTTATCGTTTGCCTCCCTCTCTGTCTTTATCTTATTTTTCCTTCCCTTCCCCTAAGTTCATCTGTTTTGTTTCTTAAATTCCACATGAGTGAAATCATATGGTATTTGTCTTTCTCTGACTTATTTCACTTAGCACAATACTCTCTAGTTCTATCTGTACTGTTGCAAATGGCAAGATGTCATTCTTTTTGATGGCAGAGTAATATTCCATCGTGTATGTGTGCCCACATCTTCTTTATCCATTCATCTGTCGATGGCCATCTGGGCTCTTGCCATAGTTTGGCTATTGTGGACATTGCTGCTACAAGCATTGGGGTGCATGTGCCGCTCCGAATCACTGTGTTTGTATCCTTTGGATAAATACCCAGGAGTACAATTGCTGAGCCACAGAGTAGTTTTATTTTTAACTTCTTGAGGAGCCTCCACATTATTGAATTTATCATCTTATTATATAACTGTGCTTATATTCTTCTAGTTTGAGCTGTTTGAGGCTATGGCCCAGGAAACACAAACAATAAGCTGGCACTTATTAAAACCCTTATGTTCCTCATGGTTAACACAGTGCCCGGCACTGAGCTAGCAGTCACTACATTTTTGACCAGTTATGCTGAAAATTAATAGTTCTGGCCTGGCAAAAGCATCATCTGCCAGGTGCTAGGCAGGTTCTTTCTGCTGAAAACACTATTTACCTGGAACATTTATATGAAATATCATAATTCCTCTTAGGTTAATGTATTCTGAGTTCTGGACATAACCTTTCAAAATGTAAATAAGGCCTAAGAGAAATAATATATGGGAATCTGTCATCAAAACCTTTACTGCAAATTAATTTACCAGGCTCTTTCTCCAAAGGCAGAGAATGAATGATTTAATTTTGGAGGTGGAGATGGAAAAAGATCAGAGAGAAGGGATATGCATATGTCCAAACTCATCAAACTGTATACATCAAATATGCCCAGTTTTTTGTATACCAATTATATGTCAATAAAACTGTTAAAAAGAGAGAGAAAGAAGGGTTAATTTTGTGTAAAACATTCTATTTCAAGATAAATATGATGCTACTTGGGCAGGGGGAGAGAAGTAATACTTGGAAAGCTACTCAAAAAGAATTCTTCTCACTTCATAATTTTCTAGGACATGTAATAAACCTGGTAAATACCATAATAATATTCTTCTCTTTATAGGCAAAGGCAAACGAAATCTACAAATCTACCTACCCACACCTCTTAATTATGGCATTACTTTCAATAACTGCTCAGAGTATTAGTCTAAATTTATACTCTACATGGTTCCAAAAGGATATGAAGTAACTTACATTAGAACATGTATCAGACATGACAGTTAAAAGAGATTTTTAAAATGAGTCTGTAAATAACTCAATGTAATTATTCAAAGAGCTTAGGATAAGAGGATTGTAATAAGTAAGTACCATATTTTAGTTTTAAACTTCTTAACAATTTCTGAAGAGTTGGAAAGGAACTTCACTTGAATGTTTTTTTGTTTAAGCAATCAAGATCATTCACATGTTAGAATATCCTGAACAATTTTTCACAGCGCCTTGTGAGTAGGAGAATATCCCATTTCTTCCTCAAGTTTGGAAGAGAACATGCAGTAAGAAAATTTTTTTTTTTTAAAGATTTTATTTATTTGACAGAGAGAGAGACAGCAAGAAAGGGAACACAAGCAGGGGGAGTGGGAGAGGGAGAAGCAGGCTTCCCGCTGAGCAGGGAGCCCAATGCGGGGCTTGATCCAAAAACCCTGGGATCATGACCTGAGCCGAAGGCAGACGCTTAACGACTGAACCACCCAGGCGTCCCAAGAAAAATATTCTTAAAAACAGGGTTTGCTTAGAATCCAGATTTCATGTGAATATTAATTAGATGTACAAATCTTCCTGGAGTTAAGTCAGTGATTTACATAAAAGTATATTCTCTGTACATGTGGTTATATACTTTACATAAACTTTATATAATAAATTATTTTATTCTGTAGCTCAAACCTAAACTCAAAGATTATGGTCATCAATATAAAAATGGCTAAGCATGAAAAGAAATATCACTAGTCTAAATGAAATGGAAAAAAAAACCACTGAATTACTCTGGTTTGTTATTATGTACTGAATTAAACTTTAGCACTATTTCCACTTAAAGAATAAAAAGCAAATGAGACAACTTCTTTTGAAGTCTGGGAGCATATGATCTGAAATGCAGTAACTTATCATTTGAGACTTTCATTAATATTTGGCATAACTGCAATTTTGTAGCATGACAACCACCTTAAAATATGTTATAAATCTTAACTACTATTTTGAACACACCGTCTAAATTATTTCTCCATTTACAACCTGGTAAGAATAAGAATAAGCAGAAATTGTTAAAAACAGCAGGGTACATTTTAAAATAAAAATTTTAATTTGACCAGTAAGTCTTGAAATCAATGTCAGAAAAACTCTACAGCTAGCACTTTCTGCCTTGGGTAGGTGGAAGAAAGAGAAAGGCGAGAAGGGGAAGTGCCTTACATAATTCAACAATGGCTGATTTGACAAAGTAAGAAATGGTCTGAATTGACTCCAAAGACAAAAGGAAACCTAGGTTAATCTCGTAACTACAAAGATTATGACATTACTTCTAGAAATACAGAAAAAAATGGGATAGCGGGGCATAATATTTAAAAATGTCTAACATACAATAAAAATATAGGAGAAAATAAAACTGATAAAAGTGTTTTAGTTATTATAATACTGACACATGTAAATTAAAAGTATATAGTTGATATGTAGTTCATATACAAGATCTATTTATGAGCTTTTGAATGACATCTGAAAATCCTGGTCAAAATAGTTTTCTCAACATATACTTAAATACCAAAGAAATAGAACACAAATACTTCACTGACTAGAGAGGATAGTTAAGGTTATTAGCTCTATTGAATGAGATTGATTTTGGGTGGGATATTATTACAAAAACTAAGCATCTATAAAACATATCTTGGAAGTATGAGCTCAAAAGCTTTAGTGACTTTTTTTAACATTTACTATAAGTTATGAGTTAACATTTCATAATGGGAAAAACTTGACAGAGGAAACATTTATGATAAATAGGTCTCCATTAACAGAAAAGGAATAAATTGCCAGAAATAATATTCAACTTTATACATCATTTAGCCATAAACTTAGAAGCAGTGTAATTATAGGTAGCATCCCAATCCTGTCACTTGACAGCCGTGATCCTACTCTAGGTACTTAACCTCTCTCAAGACTTCAATATCTCATTTGTAAAAGTGGGACTAAATCTATCCACTTCATAAGCAGTGATGATTAAATGAGACAACGCATGCAAAGGACTATATTAAGTGTCCGGCACACAGCTAACTTAATGTTTACTGCTATCATTTTATTATATTATCTCCTTCAAAATATATCACCCCACTATCAAACAGATTGAGTTCTGTGTTTTCAGGGACCGTGTTTTATTTTTAATTTTTATTACATTTTGAAAGCCAATCCTACATACCACATTTTTCCATCAATAAAATCGTAATTAGCTATGAATCACATTATATAAAATAACAAAGAAAAGCTTTCCTAAAATGTGCTCTCAAGTCATAAGGCTTGTTGATTTAAGAAAAACAAACAATAAATAAAAACATTTTGCCACATGTAAACATGAAGAAGAAATCATGGTTGATCCCTCTGCGACATTTAATGAGTGCTGATCTTTAATCACATAAACTTTTAAAAGGTAGGCCACAGTCAACTCACCTGGTGAAGATCATCCCCCAATGCGTACTCGGCAAAGTAGCCGGGAGCAGCCGACGAGGCTCTAATGGCCTGCCACATTTTATACTGACAGCCTCCCAAGTAGTGTGAGTTGATTCCAGGAAAATGACCATAGTTTCTGAACACAAAAGCTTTTGGCGTTATCCCTCTGTTTACTATGGTACTTACTGCAGCTACCTAGTAAAGTAAAAAGTGAACAATACCCACTGTAAACAGCAGTATCTGGGATCCGTAGAAAATTGAGTATTATTTAGTAGTGTGAATGAACCACCTACAACTTTACCCATCAAGATAAATGTATAATATAAATATGATCTTAAGCAAAGGGAACCAGATTTAACCAGGTATTTCTTTATGGGACAGTAGATACAAGGACTGAGACAATTTTGAGAAATGTAAGACAACAACACTAAAAGATATTATTGGACTACATGATTTGATTAGCCGTTTTTAAAAAGACATTAGGAAGGCATAAATTTGCAAATCTTTATATAATAATCAACGTAGCAGTAGTAGCAATGAATACAAACTACTCAAAGAAGAAGAAATACACTATTTTCATAATATCATTTACAAATTAGTCTTTGCTTCTGTTCTCTTTGAAAGCATTATGACTTTAGTAACTGAAACTAACAATATACACTATTTAGGCTTTCTTATCATAGTTAATAACTGGTAGCTAGGTAATTTTTTATTAAATAACTAATACTGACCACCTTGGGTCTCAGATTTTATCAATGTAAGTTGAATTAATGTAAAATGTGTTGTACTGGTTAATGACCTCTAATATAAACTTAAGAAGCTGAAAGGTATGGAGGAGGCCAAAGTTATTAGGGTTCCATGTCAAGCCCTGCCAGGGGCTTGTCTGCTTTGCTATTTTATAAACCAAAGGAGATATCCCCAGATCCTGTGAGCGATCCGAATGTCTCCAGGCCACCGTGGGTAAGAGTTGGTCATACACCAAGATCCAGGGGGTCTTTCTATTAATTGGACTAGAGACAGGCTGAATTAAGAATCATGTGGGAAACATGATAAACCCATTTATCATGAATGAATTACTTTTTGAGGTGGCTAAAGTTCCCTTACACCTATTCTAGTCTTTTATTTAAAGTTGGCAACTCCCATGACTGAAAAACAAACAGTTCTGAAGATGCAGGGAAACAAACAAGAGGCATAGAGTGCACCCTGGGATCTCCTCCAAAAGAGCTGCGTGCATTTCATTAACATGGCCTCCAAGGCCCTGTGGTCTGATTCACCTGCCACTTCAGTCCCATTCTGCATGCCGCCCTTGAATCCTTAGGCTCTGGTCTCCTGGGGCTCTCAGTTCCTGTGCCTCTCCGTGCCTCCTCCCGCACAGGTCCTTCCCTTTGCCAGCACTGCTCCTACTCATCAGCCTGCACACTGAGATCTCAAACCTCCTTTCCTTAGAATAGTCTTCCCTCCTGTCCCTGTAAATATATTCTTTCAGAGGTCTGTTTTTGTACTCGACAGCATTTATTTCAGGGAAACTACCTCTCGTTTGTATGATTACCTGATGAATGCCTACTTTGCCCTACTGGACTATAAACCATGTCTGCATTTACTAAGGTCTCCAGAGTGCCTGGCACAGTGTTGACACATTGGGCTCAGAATTAATATCTAAAGAATGAATGATTTTTGAACAAGCAAGAGTGAAAGAGAAATAAAGGGAGCTGAATTTGATTTTTCACGGTTACAGCTTGTTATCCAAGAACAAATACAAGCTACAAGGGATTCTAAAGTCCATAAATGCTATTCCTTAATCAAATAACAAGTATTATTAAAGAACACAGAACTCAAGCAATACTCAGATTATTAGGTTTCAGACAAAATAAATAAAAAGAGGCCACATGAGACATATCCTTGTGGCTTTACCATTTTTAAAATTGGGATTCCATTTGTATGTTAATCTAACATATATCTACAGGCACATAAAATTTCTTTTAAAAAGTCTGGGCAAGGAAATGCTACAATTTTTCTTAAATCACTGGATTTGATTAACCTTATGATAAAATAATCCTTCCTTATTTTCAGTCGTAGTCTTTCATGTTCTTAAACTTTTTGTTACACTTTTACTGGCTATAGGAAGAGGTCTAATGCTCACATCTTAGATCTTCAGAAAATGGCTCAAGTAAGATGTAAGGAATCAATATAATCTATTAAGAGGTTCCTAAGAAATGTTTCTCTTCAAACTGAGGGTTGCTGGAGTGGGGGGTGGGGTGGGAGGGATGGGGTGACTGGGTGATAGACACTGGGGAG